TATTCCGTGTAATAGCGATCGCCAAAAAGAACATTTTAATGAGAAATAGAATTCTCCAAGTATTGTTAAGAAATTTAGATATGAACGTGAATGTTTCTATTGTGGTGAAATAGGACATTTTAAGAAATACTGCACACATCGAGATTTGGATTATAGAAAAGAGAATTATGATAGAAGTCTGAATTATATTAATCCTAAATCCGACTATAAAAATATATCGCCAAATGTGTCCAGAAAAGTACCAAATTCTTTTATTGAAACAACAGTTACTTCGAAGGACACAGAATCTAGTTGGCTTGATATCGGTAAATTAAGTGGCACTAAGTCTGGAAATGTTGCCAAGAGAAATTCTGAAAGAAGCCAATCGACTTCCAAAAGAACAATAGTCCCGCCAACAGTTATACCTGAAGAAATGGAACCAATTACTAAAGTAAATAAGAAGTTGATTATAGATTGGGAAGGAAATATTTTTGAAAAAGTGTCTAATTGGAGTTCTCCAAGTTTTGAAGAGAATAAAAGAAAAAGAAATAAAGCTTATTTTCGTAAGGAATTCGAAAAAATTGATGAAAACATTATGGAAAGTGTTAGAAATATTTTTATGGAGGATCGGAAGGAACAGAACCAAATAGTAGGAGCAGAAATAGATATGATGTTGGAAGTTAGTCCATGTGTAGTAAGCACAGAAATAGAAAGTGCAGTACCAAAAACTCAAAATTTTTGCGGATAAAAGTAAAGATGAAAATTTTAAGAGCCAAATGTAATTTTGATCATGGAACCAAAGCGATGTATAAGTGAAAAAGATATGTGTCATATTGGAAAAATTACAGCATTGAAAAAGTAAGATTGAAAGAAAAGTTGAGTCATTGGTGCAAGAAACAGAAAGCCAGTGTGCTTCACAGAGTTATTAAAATTTGCCAAGAAATTAATCAGTGGAACTGGAAGTTTAGGAAAAGAATTGTGGTGAGAAAAAAACTGGTAAAAGAATATTGACATCTACAAAACTACAGAAGTCATGGCACTACGAAATTCGCCAATTACCCCAAATTTGGCTAACGTTTTAAGAGTAAAAATAAAAGTAAAAATGATGAAAGTATGCACTTTTATAATATTTTATCTATCCCGCTACGGGTGAGTTTCCATATATCCCGTTACGGGTTTTTCTTGCTGTTTTATGATCTTTTCACTATCCCGTTACGGGTAATTCATATTTGTTACTGTTTGTGTTGTTTGTAAATAAAAGCTTTTTATAAAAAAAAACTGAACAGTTCTTTAATATAGCTTGATACGCTACAGTATCATAATTAATTATTATAATTAATTATTATAATTTATTATCATAATTATACCAGAGAAATAAACTTGAAATACTACCAGACCGTTAAGGGTTAAATGCACATTGGTCCAGTTGAGATTAAGTAATTCAAAAGCGATCAAAATTTAAGATTAAGAGTAAAATCTATTAAAATAAATAAATAAAAATTGTGAGAAAATTTGCTTGCTCATTAAAAGTCTATTAAAAGTTATTTCGTTCTCAGACTCAGATAATAAAAATCAGAGCATTCTTTAGTTCGTTAGAATTTGGTGGAAATTTTAATTGAGCACGAGTTTCCTTAGACAATAAACACTTCTTGTATTGTTGAAGAAATAACTGAAACGTCCTTTGTTGCTCAGCACAACGCTCTAGTAAAAGTTTGAGTGTCCTACACAGTCGTAAAGAGGTAGGAATTTTAATTGACGGTGACGATAAATTCAATTTGGCTGTAAAATAACAATAAATTTTGCCAGGGAAAATCGGGAAACCATTGAAATTTGATTTGCAAAATGTTCAACTTGAAGTTTGGGTATTCTACTGTTCGGAAAGTGGCTAGTATTTTGATTCAAAGATTCCACACCTGGGGGACTTAATAGATAATTAACTAAATCGTTAAGAAACTGCAAAGTAGCAATTTCATTATAAAAACTAAGAATACGACTTTTCTGAAATTTTATAAACGACTTTCCTGAAATTTTCAACCGATTTCGTACAATTTTTGTATTTTTTCAGTTAAATTATGTAAAGACGAAAAAGATTTAAAAAATTTTTAACCGCAAAATAATTTTTTTTCTTTTTATGAAATAAATTTATAAAAATTAGTTTTTCCATTCAACTATTTTTGAATAATGGAGTTTCAAAAGCGAGTACATTTTTAATTTTGTTATTAGTTTCAAAGCTATGAGTACGACTAAAAGTACTAAAAGCGCTAAAAATGAAATAACTATATATTAGGATAAAACTGAAAAAGAGAAAAGCGCATAGGCTGCAAGTATATAGAACTCATCAAATAAGTTAAAAATATAGAGAAAACATGGAAAACAATAAAGATCAATGAAAAGAGAAGAATCTTTCCATGTTTCCTCTATATTTTTAACTACCTATATATATAAAAGCAGACGATAAAATTAGAACACCA